ATGGCTTATTTTGGAGGGTTTAATGAGACAGCATTGCAAAAGTACCTAGCAGATTTGTGCACAATCCATTAAGGTTTGTCTGTCTAGGGGCCCATAGCCGACCCTTATTTTCACTTAGTTAAAGTTTCCCCTATTTAGGAAGCCCAGGTTTCCTGAGTCAGATGCATATCTATCAACCTTCCTGCTAGCTCAGCACTTGGCAGGCCCCAAAGTCATTCTCAGTGAAGACGTGATCCCCACTGGGTGTGAGTGACACCAGCCCACATGCAATTAGTTTAATGCATGGCTCAGGATCTTCTTACACCCCAGTTGGATCTATTCTCAGGAGAGTCTTCCCTCTGGTACCCTTCAAAAGGCTCAGGAAGACAACTGCATAGTGCACTCATCCTTCGCTGAAATGCAAGCTTCTTCAAGGAGTAACGTTCCCAGGTGGGGCTGTCCTTTCTGCACCCTCCTGAATGCTCAGTCTGCTTCCTCCCTTATCACAGCAGACAGCATTCTGGCAAGAGAGAAAAGGAGGGTCAAACACTAGGTGTGCAGTCCAGTTGCCCCATCTGTGAGGGGGAAGGAACTCACACTTACACAGCTCTTCTGACACTCAGGCACTGTGCTGAGCATTTGGTTAGCCCTCTTAACTATGTCAGGCTTCTGACCCCCACCTTGCACCTGAGGATACTGAGGGTCTACAAAAGGAGACAGATTGCCCGAGAACACACACAGCCAGTAAACCTCAACTGTTCTGAGATTCACACTTGTCACTCTGGCTACCATACCGTGGCTGGTTTGGACCAAACAGGCTTCCTCTTATTCACCATACATGAGAGAGAGAATTAGTCTTTCAGAGCAGTATTTACTCAGCCAGTTTCAAGGGGAATTGCAGATCCTAAAGGAGAGCGCAGAAGAAGGTGGGGCTTTCAGCCTCCCGTAGCCAGCAGGGCCTGGACCCTACCACAGCTTCTTGCAGACAGAACTCGCTGGAGGAGGGAAGCAAGAAGTGACTGAGCTGTCAACACCCAGTTTCTTTGCTCAGTAGGGTCTTACATTGTTTTGGCTGCTCTAACAAAGCACCATAAGCTGAGTGGCTTGTAAACAGACATTTATCACAGTCTGGTCTCTGGGAAGTTCGAGATCAAGGTGCCCGCAGATTTGGCGTTTTGTCGAGGGTTCACTTTCTGGTTACATACGTGACATTTTCTCTGTGTCCTCACATGGTGGAAGGGGTGAGAGAGCTTATGGGGTATCTTTGATAAGGGATCCCACTCACTCCTAGGCAGAGCTCTCATGACTTCCTTGCCTCCTGGATTCCGTCATCCCCTTGGGGATTAGGATTTTAATATATGGATTTAGGGAGAACCTGACATTCATTTGGTGCATTAAATATGCTATCCAAATCCCACAGGAGAAGAGAATGGGGGCTATGATGGAAAATGAGAGCTATGTGGTTTTCTAATAATCCGATAAAGGCTGAAAGGGAAGTTGTCAATACCAGCTTCTCCTGTTCCATGGTGTGAGGAAAGAGTATGGCTTTGGAATCAGACATATTTGTGTTTGAAGCCCAGCTCCCCCCTTTACCAGCTAGGTGGCCCTGGGCAAGCTACTCCTGTTTCTTCATCTTTAAAATTGCATACCTCACTAGGGACAGTGCCAGGATTAGAAGAAGCCACTGGATGTAAAATACCTGGTGAAGTGTTCAAGCGACCCTTGAGGCCCCAACCAACCTGCCCCTCAAGGAATGAGCAGGGCACGCTCAGTGGAGGTGCCCCCCTTTCATGTCCCAGGTATATCCTACCAAGGGTCCCTGAAAACCAGGGTCCACTCTGGGCCCATGTCACGGGCCCACTTTGCCTTGGCATCTGCCATGGAACATTGGGAATGTGACCATTTATGACCAAGGTTACCATTGCCCCTTGGGATCCTTCCCTATGTCTGCTGTTCTTGATACCATGCCATGTCCCACAGTTAGGCCCATTCTACTTGTCCCCTCTGACACTCTGCTTCTGTCCCATCATTTAAGGTCTAATCTTTGTCCCTCTGCTGTAAGAACCCATTGGACTGGCCCAGCCACCCATCACCTCTGTCCCTATAACACTTCCTGGCTGCCCAGGGCTGACCGTGGAGACCATGCAGATCAGTGAATGGTTAGGCAGCACTTTGGAGCCAGGCGGCTGAGCTTCCAAACCTAAACCCCTGTGACCACAGGCACAATGCAAAGTCTGTGCCTCTCAATCCCCATCTGCAGAAAGGGTTTGATAACAGGGCCGCCCCCGAGGTCTTGTTATGAGTATTAAATAAGTGAATACAAATTATTTATTACTAGTAGTTATTATATAGTAATAATTACTCCTTTTTAATGCTAATCATGAATGCTACTAAATATTAATAATAAAGTGCTTAGGACAGATATTAGCACATATGAAATACTCTACAAATATTCAGTTGCTTTTCCCAGATTATTTTTTTTCCTGTCTTTCCAACCGATTCAGAACTTGTATCCCCAAGGCCTCATCTCATAACTGGAAACTACAGCAGACTTAGAACCAATGTGCAAGGTTCCTACTTCCCCCCTCCCTGATGCTATCATATGCATCTTCTCCCACTCTGCTCCGACTGTATGACACACAAGCTCTCATTTTGCAAATGAACCCCATCCTCCTTGCATCCCCCCTTCACCCCAGGCCCTGTGGGACAGAAACTCCTGCCCATTCTTCAAGCCCCAGCACAGCCATTTCCTTCCAGATGCTTCTCTGAGCATTCTCGAGCTGTCATTTCCTCTCGAGCCTCCCTCCATATGATTTCTGGTTACCTGATTGTGACATGTGTTCCCGCAGACCATGAGCGGACGTCTCCTGCCTCCAGCCCTCTCCCGCCTGGCGCCCTGTAGGCTCTACGTAGTCAGAGTCAGCATCTCCTGCTCACTCCCCCTAAGCTGGGCACTACTTGCACGCTTTACACGCATCATCGTGTTTCTTTCCCACAACTGCTCTCTGAGACAGGGAGATCAGTCAGAGTCCTGGCTGGAGGCAGAAAACATACCAATTATTTCAATAGAGAATTTAGTCTTTAAAAATGGTAACTAGGCATAAAGTGGTGCCTAAGAATACAATAGGAAATGACAGGAAACAGCTACCACCCCTGGAGCAGAAGGAACAGAGAGGAGAGATCATTACAACTCCAGTTGGGAACAAGACCTCCTAGCCAGCTGATTCCAGAGGCAGCGGCTCTGGGTAGAGAAGTGGACAGGGAAGCTGGTTCTAGGTGGAAAACTGCAGAGTGGATTTTGCTACGGCAAAGGGAAGAAGTGGCGCTGCTGGGGTGAGGAAGGAGATTGGAGTGGGGAGTAGGGTCAGGGAGGACTTGCAGGAACAGGAAGCATGGGGAGGAGCAAGGGCCATCTCTCTCCTCTGAATGCTTAGCCTCCCACTCAGGTCCGTTAGGTGAGTAGAAATAGAGTTTGCAGAGACCCAGCCTCAGCACCATACAGCAGTTTCTTTCTTTCTTTCTTTTTTTTTTTTTTTTTGG